TGTTGGCTGAGGATTAAATATTATTTTTCCTGTTTGATGATGGGGAATGGGAACACAAAGATGTTGTCTTCACTTTGTAATAAAGATGGCTTTTTAACTTAGGCTACCAGTGCTGATAGAAACCCCAAGGAGATAAGGCACTTTGCATATTCTGTTTATTGGTGGCAGTGGAGAATGAGGAAAAGAAAACAGTAGGATGAGCACTTCTGACTAATCTGTGAGGATCACAACGGTCTTGCACGTGAGCAGATTTTATCATAGTCAATATGAAATAAGAATAGATTTTGCCGACACAAAACCAGTATTTCTGCCTATTTGCTTTGTTTCCCACTGGTCTTTTGGGTTGGATTCCTGAAGGTTTCCCCGGAGGATGCCCAAGCATCGGTCCCTGTGCATATACCCTCTGTGTTGGCCTCTCACCACAAAGAGCAGTCACCGAACACCTTTTGTCTCTTTGCTCTAGGAAACCATGCAGGAAACTTTCTCTTGCACTAGGATTAAGTTTCATTCTCATCCTTCCTGGAAGTTTTGTTCTTGAATCATGCCCTCGCCCTCTGCATAACCTCAGAAAAACAAGCAAAAAATACTTTTATAAAGGAGCTGTGAAATTGCTGCTCTGGGTGCTTGGTAAACAGTTGGGGGGTGTTTTACAGGCCACCAGGGCACTTCTTTTCTCCCCTGGGCTTGGCAGCTGGATCCCACAAGCATCTAAAGGGAAAACCAAGCACTAAGCTCTGCTGCTGTCACCCTCCCAGCTGGCAGATGTGAGGTTTGGGGGGTTGCTGTGCTGCAAGGTTTTTTACCAGTTGCCTGACTGGGGCCGTGCTGCCAGCAAACTGGGAGGGAACGGGACCCCAGTGTGTGTGGGCAATAACCCACTGAAAAATGCCTTATTTTGTGCAGCAGCTGCTCAAGTTAAAAGGAAATTAAATACCTTCCTCTGGATTAAATACTGTAAAATCTCTCATCCCAGCCTACGTGAATGTTTAACGGCTTAGTTTGTTTATGAGGTGAAGGATATTTTTGACAACTCCAGTGTTTGATTTTTTTTAATATATTTTTTTCTTTTGATCAAGGTCTGTTTCTCTTTTTAATGGAAGTCTAAAACCTCTTTGTATTCTTAAAATCAGCTTTTAGCAGCTGGCCTTTTCATTAAAGGTGCTGATAGGTTATGTGCTATCGCAGGTGACCTTCAAGAACAGCAAAGGGCAGGTTTTGATCCTGAAGGTGATGCTGGGAGGAGATTAAGGTCTCATGCAGGTGGCTTACCAGGCAAGGGCCCCCCTCTGCCATGCCCGTGGCCCAGCGGCTTCATTTCCCTCTCTCTGCCTCACAGCTGCAATATCTCAAGGGTGGCTTCAGGACTTTTCCTCTCTGCCTTTCCCCAGCAAGTCTGCAAGAGGTCAGTGAGTCAAACCAGCAGCAGCTCCTCCTGTGCTGGATGTAAAATAAGAAACACATGAGTTTGAGTCCCCCACACCTGCAGCCGTGACCAACCCATGCCTAAATCCTGGATGTGGTAGAGGATGCTCATAACACGGCCCTTTCTCTTTTTTTTTGTGTGTGTGTGTGCACGTTGGTTGGAGGATCATATGAAATAAAAAGAAAATCATACGCTTGGTGTTTATTTGTCATGGGCACTGTACACGTGGTGGGGGGCAGCTGCTCTTGTGATCAAGATAGGGCAGGGGAAGCCCAGGAGGCCTGGGGCTTCATGTGGCTCTGCTGTGCCTTGAAGGCACTGAATGATCTCTGTCTGTTCAGACCGAGGGCTCTCTGGGGCAGGTGCCCTGGTTCAGCTCCCCATGCCTGTATCTGTGCCTGAGCCCTTTCTCCTACACAGCCTTGCCGTGGTGGCAGCGATGTTCCCCACCTCTGCAAGGCACACGTGGGATTCTGGAAGGGGGCTACAAAGCAGGCAGGGACAGAAGCTATTACTGAGAAAAATTTGTATTTATGTTCTGCCTTCTCAAAGCAGGACAGTTCATTCCTAATAGATATTTAATAATATCTAATATTGATAATATAATAATATTTAATAAATCAACAGGTAATAAATTTACCTGTTAATTTATTATCTCTTTTGTACCCTATAAAATGATTAAAGAAAAAAAAAAAAAGTTAATGCTGTACCTCATGATTTGTGTCAATAAATACTGATGAGGTAATCTCAGCACCCAGCAATACTTGGACTCGATACTCTTCTTCCTGGCAGACCACTCCCAGCCTTCCATTAATAATTACACACCGACAGGTACCAATCAGCGGCAGGACGATGTAGCAGAAGACACAAAGCAAACACAACTTACTGTCCGGGAAATGGCTTTACTTTTCACAGTGTGCCCAGAGGTATCTGACACAGCAGTGGGGTTAATGGCCTCTATGATCAGTTCTCCACCCATCCCACCAGCCACGGCACCAACCCACGGCACTTTTCCGGGCCACGGGGCAGTGCTGCTCGTGCTGGTGCAGCCCTTCCTGCTCTTTCTCGGATTTAGTCACTCCAGCCTACGTGACACACTAGGCACGTCTCCTGAGCGGACAGTTTCTTGACATCAGGCTTGACAACAACAACAAGGCAGTGACACTTCTACAAGTGCAGAGCCTGGAGTTGTAGGATGGCTCCAGAAACACTCCGTTATCCCCAGGTTCTGCCTGAACACATCCCTTCCTCGTACCGCTGCTCGATGTCGCAGTGACCTTAGCTTCTGCAGTACATTTTCTCAACATCTAGTCACTGAATTTGCAGTAGTTTTGCTCATGCCTTGCCCTGAGACCCCTGCCACCAAGCAGTCTCTTCCCAGAACACAAGCTCTCCGAATGGTCTGGCTGGATCGTCAGCCCCAGCAAACCTCCACGTGGTTTCACCTTGCTGTTCCAGCAGTTGGTTGTGTTTTCTCATCTCACTTCTGCTTTGTAGCCACCTCTTCTGCGCGATTTTCCTGGGAACTCTGAAATATAGCAAGGCTTTTGGAGTTAGCAAGTGTCAAAACCAAGGCTATGTCCTACTCTTCTTGTTTTACTGGCTTTTGCAGTGTTTGCAGACAGGGAATGAAATGATGCATGAGCCGCTTCTGCCCAGTTTGCATGCATGTAGAGATTTCACTTCTGAACAGTTCTTTTTTTATTATTATTATTTATTTTTTTTAGGGGAAACATTTTTAAACCTTTATGCTCTTGGAAATACATTGCGGTTTGTGTTTGCACTGAGACAGGAGACCAACACACTGTGCTTTGTTTAGAGCCCTGGCTCCAGCTCGTCCCGAGGGCCCCGTGCCAGGACAGGCACACAAAGTGTGGCCCCGTTGGGGCAGCTGCTACAGCAGCATGGCCATGCTGGCGGAGGCACAGCAGCATTTTGCCACCCCCTAGACTGGTGGCTTCCAGACACCAGCATCACAAAGAAGCAGCTCTCTGGATGCAGTGATATCCCCCTCTCCCAAAGAGCCAGCCAGATTTAACAGCACGTGCTTATCCCAGTCCCTTAGTGAACAGGGACAGAGGGTCTGATGCTGCTGGGGGTGCTCAGCGCAGCGAGCCCACACTGTGGTGACTTTGTGCAGCAGTTCCCACGTCGTTTTGTCAGCCAGGAAGTGCCCCGGGGATGGCAGTGAAGGGGTTTTCCCACCGAATGCGGGCATGGCTCTGAAGAGCTCGCCGCATAACGTTTCCTTCCCGAAGGAGAACGAGGATCCAGCAGCAACAGATCAAACTGCACTGAAAACACCTTTGTCTGCCGCCCTGCTGTGCAGGAGCAGCCTCATGTGTTTTCATTAAATGCAAGCCAAGGCCCTAATCACTGCATTTTCTAGCTGCTCAGAAGTAATCTTGTCTGGCTTCCTATTGGGACTCTGTTGTGGGCTTTTTTTCTTTTGTTTTTTGATAGATGAAAAGTCATCTGCACCTGTTGCTGAGGGTTTTAAGAAGTCCAGTGTAATTGGAAAATGAAAAGGAAGGCTGGGCTGAGCAATTTGGGCTCCAGTAATGATAATGATTCAATTCAGGCTTCATCAAAGAGAGGGATGGAGGACAGAGAAGGCAGTCTGATCACACAGATGCCCATCAGCCTGGTTATAACCAGAGGCATGCCTCAGGCCAGCAGTTCAGGGAAAGGACAGCCTTTCCAGGGCTGTAATTACCAGTCACGCCGTGCCTTGGGGCAGCAAGGAGCCAAAATGAAGCAATTCCTTCTCCTGGCTCTGCTTTTCCCCTGTGCAGCACCAGGCAGAGCTGCTCCTGGGTGGACATACGGCTCCGCTCCTTCCCTGTGTCTGCCTTTGTGTCTGAGCCACGTCCCAGGAGCTCCCGGGGTCTCCCAGCCGGGGTTCTCCATCCCCCTGCCCATCGCCTTGGGTGGAGGTGGGTGCCCAGGCTTGATGTAGGCCAGAGCACGGGGTACACGGAGCTGAGTCTCTGTTGCATTTTCACACGTGAAAAGCTTTGGGACTTCTCCAGTTACACCTGTGGGGATGTGTTCATCCTTTGCTCTGGCAGCGTTGAAATCGACACTTTCCATTTCTTTCTGAGAGCATGCAAATATTGATATAGCCACCAGCACTCCTTTTAAAGTCAAATTCCTTTCACTTATCAAACAGGAATAATCAATAAAGAAGAGAGATTTGTGGCAGCTGGCACACACATGAAATCACGCCTACAGCTCTACAGCTGGCCATGCCGGTGAGCAGTTTTGGGGACCGATATGATCGCAGCCCAAGCTGTTATGGCTGCAGGCAGCTTTGACAGGGAAATTGGTGCAATGGAGCCATAAACACGTCGATCCCTGGAAGTGCACTTCATTTCCCGAGCCGCTACTGCCCCAGGGGATTCCACTGACACCCAGAGATGAACTGCCCGCAGGGCAGGGCTCCTTCCCAGCACTGCTGTATCAAGCACTCGATAAGATAAGGCTCTTTTCCCCAACCATCTGAACTATGCCCCCACCAGCTGCTCTCGGTAGTATTTGCATGTTAGGCCACAGGTAAAAGGCAGGGTTAGCTTGCAAAGTTAGGGAATTTCTCCTCGAGCTGCTGGGCGGAGGAGGAAGCAGGGAAGGCAGCGCACGTGCGTGTGTGCCCTCCCTCGGCCCCAGTGTATTTAAGCTGCCGGAGGCTGTGCCTGGAGCTGTGTCTCTGCCAACCTCCAGCCACCAGCTGCAGGAGAAGTCAGGCATTGCGAAGATGAGCCGGTTCCCAGTGGATGTGAAAGCTGTAGGCTTGATGCAATGCAGAAAGCAGAAGGTATTTTAACCTGATTTTTTATTTTTTCTTCTTTTTTTCCTTAAATACTATTTACAAATCAGGAAAGTAGAGTGTTTTTTTTTTTTTTTGTTTGTTTTTTGTTTTTTGTTTTGTTTTTTTTTATGTTATTCTTTCAGGAGTACATTTGCTCATTTTCCTGCAGAATTGAAATTAAAGCGTTGTTCTAGGACAGGGGTCTCAGACATGTTTTTGGTGGTCCATCTCATAAGAAAATGATATCATGGACTTGCTCTCTTCCTCTTCACAACTTCAGACCTTCTTTCTGGTTTTAATAACAATTACTCATCTGGGACCCTAAAATTAAGGAAATATTTTTGTAGGTCTAGTCCTTAATTTCATTTTTTAGGTGACAGTCTTGCATCCTGAAACCAGAACTAAACCACAGGTCCTGGCAAATGCTCATTGCTTGAAAGCATCTGATATTGAACACCGTGATAAAAAATGCATCTCTTTTCCCTTTTATTTTTTCAGAAGTACATGATGTTTGTGTCCTGGTCGGATCAAAACAACATTCTCATCTACCGGACATTTGAAGAATTTAAGAGGCTCCACGTAAGTGAACAGCTCCCTGAAAGTAACATCTCCATCCCGGGGAGGGAGGAGCTCAGCCTTGTGAGCGCCGTTATTCACTCTTTTGTTTCACTTTTAGAAAGAGCTGAAGAGAAAATTCCCCATTGAGAGTGGATCACTCAGGAGATCTGACAGGACTATACCCAAGTTTAAAGGTAAGGAGGAAAAATCTTTGATTTTTTTCCAAAGATTGTGTGACAAACATGACAGAGCTGCTGGGAACAGCTGTAACTGGTGATGTAGGCTTTAGTCACTGAGTCCAACATCCCTATGGGACAGATCAACAGATAACCCAGCTGACCCATGCCCCCAGCAGGAGCTATGTGCTCAGGTCCATCTCTGACTTAAAATAACCTAGAAACATTTATTTTTTGTAAACAAATGCACTTGGTAAATGAATATTGCAGTTTAAGTATAGGCTCAGGGTTCCTTGCAACATCTGAACAAAGACAAATTTCAGATATGCAAAAATTCTATCAGGAGCTGTTTAAAAGAGCAGCGAGGCAGAAGCAGCTGCTGTCTCAGCTATTTGCAGCCTGGGCCCCTGCAGGGGAGGGTGGTAGGTGGGGGCCCACTGTGCTCAGGCACAAGTTGCTGCTCTGGAGGCTATTGTCTTGCATCAACTTTTGCTTTTTTTATTTTATAGATGTAAACGTGAAGCAGAGGAAGATGAACAAGTTCCTGGAGAGACTGAAATTGCTGGAAACATACTCCCAGGAACTGCTGAAAACGGATGCTAAGATCTCCCAGAGTGAAGATCTCATTCAGTTTTTCAGGGCACAAACCCAAGACCTAGATCCGTGCTTTCCTGAAGACAGGTATGAAATCATATTTTTTGTTTGTGTATCTCTTCAAGAAACAGAAATGTTATAGAATATGGATTGAAGAGAAACATAAGTTAGGTTTTTGGGTAGCAGAAAGGGATGTTCTACTGAAAGCTTCAATGCATATGTTGGTTTTGATGCCTAAGCTTTCCTTAGCCTCGTAAATAGACATGATTTTACTGAAATTAACACTAGACTCAACCTTTCATGGGAGTTTTCAGTAAACGGATATTAAATTTTGCTTTTCAGTGTTGTGATCATGCCTTCAGAAATTGGAGGGGAAAAGAAAAAGCAGGCGCAGCAGCAGCTCTCTATTACCAATCCGCAGGCATCTCAGAGCTACAGATGCGTCGAAACCTTTGAAACCAAAGACACAAAGAACCAGGCTTTCAAAGTCGCTCAGAAGGAAATAGTTGAAGTGTTGCTCAAGGACATGACTGGTACGTTTGATAAGGATTCTTCAGTTTTGGGGGTGGATGCTGTGAGGTTTCCAGATTGATTTATGGCTTGACGAATGCATCTGTAGCATCAGGCGTGTGGGTGATGTTTGTGCCTGCGGGTAAATACCTGGATTTAGACAGGAGGAAAGAACAAGTGGTCTGGCCTTTTCTAATCAAGGGAGGCAAAAGTCTGAGCTGAGACTTGGTGCCTTATTCACAGCCCAAGCAGAAAGCTTTGCACATTTTGCTTTGTGGACCCCAACACTTTTGCATGGTGCAAACACGGGTCTAGGTGGAGCTCTGCCAGTGTCAGCACTAAGCTGCTCTGCAGAACTTCTCTCCTGTCTTACAGCTCTGGCTGCCCCTACATTGGGATTTTATGATCACCTCTCTGCCTCTTGTAGGTTACAAACTCTCTTTTGCTGTTTGCTGCAGGTTGGTGGCTAGTGGAAAACGCAGACAAGCAGATAGCCTGGTTCCCGGCCTCATACCTGGAGGAGATCGATGTCCATGAGGACATCCAGGATACCTTGAGCTCAGACGAGGAGGGTAAGTCTGCTTGTGCCCTGGGACCCAAGCAGCAGCTCTGGGCTCAGAACCACACTGCATTCCTCCTTCAAAAAATGGGCCCTGAAAAGTCTCCCCAGGCCTGGGGCTGTGCTTGCACTCAGCAGATGGCTGAAGTTCAGGCCCATCGTCCTGTGCTTGCCACAGCTTTCTCTCCAGAAATCAAGAACGTCCTTCCCCCTCTCTCTCCAGGCAGCCTGTATTTCGTTGTGCGGGCCTACGAGTCGCAGAAGGCGGACGAGCTCTCTCTGCACAGCGGCGTGGTGGTGGAGGTGGTCAGGAAGTCCGACAATGGCTGGTGGCTGATCCGGTAAGGAGGCCTCTCCGCGGCTCTGCTTTAGTGCTCCCAAAGCAGCCAGGTGCCTGCTGCAGGTGCTTCTTGCCCGATAATTCTCCCCTGGCTGCATGTAACCTCACTGAAATAACCACCTCGTGGTCCTTCCTCACACCCTGCATGTGGCGCTGCCCCCTGCCCTTGGTCCAAGCTGGGAGAAGAGCCCCTCAGCTCAGTGCTTCTTTCCCCCTCTCCCCTCAGATACAACGGGCAGACCGGCTACATGCCCTCCATGTGCCTCCAGCCCTACAAGAACCCTCACCACAGGCTGCAGACCATCATGAACTGCGGCCTCAACGTCTCCACGCCCAACCTCAGCGCCTCCCCGCTGGCCCCCCAGCCCCAGGGCAAGGTGAGGGGAGGCGGCAGGGTGCAGGACCACGCTGCCCAGGACCGGAGAGACGAGGATGTGAGCTCTTTGAGAAGCAGATCAAGATCCACGCCAGACCTGGATTCAGACAGCTCCTCGCTCAGCTCAGGGCAGCAGGCTGAGCTGGAAGCCCGATTTGTCACGGTCTCTGCCTGAGGTGGAGCAAGTCAGGAGCCCCCGCCTGGGGAAAGCCTTGGCCACGCACAGCAGCAAATCTCCACACCTCACCCACAAGGACAGGAACGATTCTGGCTTTGTGGAGTCATCTGCCGCCGATCTCAGCTGCTCCCTCTCTGACTCGGACACAGCTGGTGGTGTCCCCAAGGTGCCTACGCGCCCCTCAGCTCATGAGATCCTCCAGAGGTGCAGCACGGTCACAAGGCGAGCCCTGAGGCAATCCGCCCCCCAGGCCTTGTCCCCGCTCCCCAACGTGCACTAGAAGGGCCCAGGCCCCCAGCAGACCCTTGCCAAGTCCTGCAGGAGCCACAGGGAGCATCACTGCTGGGGACCACTGCATTTACAAGGACACTGCATTGCTAGGACCACTGCTTTGCTAGGTTACCGCTGGTGCATGCTGCAGCACAGGAGGGCCAGAATCGAGCGGTTTAATTAGGGTGTGCCACAGCACTGGGGTCCCAGCAGCTCCTGTATAACTTGGATTGAGGTAATTCTCCCTCAGGCATGTATTTATCCTGGAGCACGGTTTTTGAGAATGTCATGATTTTCTTATTCCCCACAATGTGGTTATGCAGCACAGTGCTGCAGAGAAATGGAGTGTAACCCATGAAATCCATAGCTAGTTATTTATATTGGGTAGGGACAGGGTGATTCAGCCATGTATATGTCATTTACCTGAATCCATTATTTTTTTCTTTTTTAAACTGTATTTTTTACTTTATAGTTAAGTGAATTTGGGTAGTGGGGAACTGGCTATCATGTATCTGTGAATTAGCTAGAGCCTCTGAACTGAGAGAACAGAACTGAGTTAGAGAACCTAGAACTTTTGTCTAGATTGCTACCTTTTAGTTAGTCTCTCATGTATGGTGCTTTCTTTTTTTGATACAAAAAATTTAACCAATGTGTAAGGATTTGTGTTGTTCATAGTTTTATAGTTCTAAGTTTCATATATTTCTTTCTCTGAAATAAAATGCAGATAAAAATCTATGAAGGCTATGTGTTTTTTGTACTTTAAAGGCTTTCTTATTGGGTAATTAAAGTTGCACTCAGCTGCCAGGCAGATTTTCACATGTAAGAGCAGGCAGAGATGAGATACAGGACTTGGCCCAGGCTACATTTTGCCCGAGCAGAGAGAATATTCAGTGCTTAGCCAACACTGATCTACATACACAACCTAATAGGGCTTTGGGATATGATACTACTGGCCATGTTGTATCTCCCAACTTTGTAGCCTTTAACTTGTACAGACAAGCAGCATGTTCATAGCCAGATTGTCTTTTCTCTAAACTAAGCAATCTTAGTGTCCAGGCCTCAAAATTCAGGGTGTGAAAATACAAAGACAAAACATGGCTTGCCTAGAGGAATGCACCCTTACTCTCATTAAGCTCCAAAGAGACTGAATAGTGGACTTGTTTTAAAAAAATTATAAAGTTTATTATAAAATAAAGGAATATTCCAGTTGCCATATCTGGTGGGAAAGCAGTTCAGACTGTCCCCTCAGGAAACAGCAGCTGGTGGGAGAAGGGTCACAAAGTCATATCTTCCTGCTGTGATGTATCAGCCAGCCTCATGTTTTGCCACATGAAGTCAATGAACATGGAGGCTTGCAGTAATCGGCTCAGCCTCTGAAAGTGGCGCTCTGCAAAGAAAGAAAACCAGTGGGTGATACCACAAGAGGGAAAGTTCACCAGAAATGGGTACAAAATCTTTTCAACCAAGGCAGAGAAGGAGCATTCACAACACAAGAGACCTCACAGACACACAAGTTGTGAAAAGCTTTTTATCCAGGCATGGTAACACGAGGCCAGGAAGCACCAACATTCACATAACACCAGAATCAAGAGCACAAACCTGACAGAGCTCAAATCCTTGAAGGAGCAGAGGGCAGCTGAGACTGTACAATGAAATACTGAGCACATCACCACCACAGGCATCTCCCAACAGCTCTAACTCAGACTAATCCACCCACTGCCCAAATATCCCCACACCACCACTCACCAGTGTAAGGCAGCAGGGATTCCACAGCAGATTTAATGCCTGAGTACTGCAGAAGGCTGTCTGGTGCTTCATGCTTTAGGAGGGTTTCAATGACAGCTTGAGCCTCATGGCAGTTTCGTGAGTTCGTGTTCCACGTCACCAAGAATGCTAACACTGCCTCTAGGGAAGGAGGACATTTATACACATAGGCTGTGCAGCAGATGCTGAGTTAGAGAGTATCTCTTGTCTCAGAGAAGCTCAGCTCCCACACAGCACCACTAACAAACCTAGAAAGGGCAGAACAACCATACATAGAATGGTTTCCACCCATACACAGAACGATTTCTCATCACAGACACGTCTTAAACAAGAAGGTGGCCCCCTTCTGGGCAGTGGTAACTGAAGGAAATCAGACTGGGGGGGGCAAATCCTGGCACAGCCACTAGCTCAGTGCACTCGTCTCCCAGCTGCAGGATGGGCTCAGGTCATGCAGAAAGAGGCCAAGTGGCCCTGAAAGCCAGAGACTGATGACTTCAAACAAGCTCAGAGCAGCTGCTGGTGAGCATGAGTAGTACAAAAGAAGAGTTGGCCCAGGGAAGCAGTCCCGTTCAAGGGTGGTGGGAGCTCACTGGTTAAAGACTGTAAAGACTGGGTCTAAGGAAACTCTTCTCCCTTTAATTTCAGTTAAGAAAACAAGCCCCAAATCTGAAAGGTTTTAACACTAAACTATGTCACAACAAACCTTTCTGATCCTTCCTCAGCCGAGCAATGTTCTCTTCCAAGTGCTTTCTCCCATCACTTTCCTTGAGGATGGCTGCAAAAGAAATAAACGAATTAAGGAGAGGAAGAAAATCATTTCAAGAGAAATATCCAGTGTCTTCCTCCTACACTGAGGATTCTGTTGAAAATAACATCCCTTTTGGCAGTTCCAAACCCATAAGTTTCAACGTGATCTCATCCCTTCCAAAGTGCACCCATGGGCTAAGAGCAGGGAGAGTATTTGTCATCAGCTGTGATTTCACTTAGGAAAATGGGAGTGATAAAAGGGTAAAATAGAGGCTTTCAGACAATTTTACTTTATTAACTTTATTTTACTATATAAAAACTTCAGACTACGGTCTGTGTCTACCTGGAAGAGATGCTCTGGAAAGCAGAGAGGGCAGAAGAAACACTGTCAGAGCGTAACATGAACTCACCTTTAACAACTGTTAACACTGTGTGTGGACGATCCAGAGAGATTGCCAACCCCAATGCTTTGAGGTATCTTTTCTCATGAAGCAGGTTAGAAAGCTCTTGTTCTCTGGAAAACAGACCAAGAGAGTGAAACATAAGGATAAATAAATAAAATAAATAAATAAATAATGGATTTGGCAATAATAGTGTGCAGAGGTTTAATGCCAAGTGAATACCGCTTGGCGGTGAATGCCTCAATGCCCTCATTGTGCAGATAATTTCCTTGGCACAATCAAGGGCTCCCTGAACTATCCGGTGCTGGCTGAAGTATAAGGAAATGAAAGCAGGTTTCAGCAGTTTGATGTGACTTATCTTAGTAGTATATAAACATGAAACTAATCCATTATCAAGCCGATAATATTACAGCAAAGATTTGCTTTAACTAAAGATAAACCACAAAGTGGAAGATTACCATGCCTTCACAGCATCTAAATAGCTAACTGACATATACTTCAGAGTAGGTAGACCTGCATGGCTCTAGATGTGCAGTTTCACTGGACAGAACTTGCCTTTCACAGCCCTCTACTGCCCAGGATCAACTTACTTCATAATCTGTTCCTCCTGTTTAGCTTGTGCTTCTTCCTGTTCAATTTCAGTGACATCCTATAACAAACCAAAACATGACTGTCAAATCTTGCTTTAATACAGATGAATTTTTATGCAGCCAACAAGTAAACAGAAGATCAGTTTCTGCAGCAAGATCTCCAGGTCAAATAAATTACGTATTAAATCTAGCAACTCACAATTGCCCTCCAAGCCCCACTTAGAACACTAGGTCTAGGCAGGCCACTTAAAGCCCATCTCCTATTCCTTTTATAAAATCAGCTATGAAAATTCAGTGTGGTCAAAAAAACAACCCAAACCACAACAAACAAACAAAAGATATGCCTCACTGATGCAATCTCAAGTTGAAGAAAATAAGGAGAGTGTGTCATGTTGTAACAGCGAGAAACAAACCACTGGGATCCTTATCTCTGCAACTGTATTCTGATCACTAACCCAGAGAGGGAAACAGAGATTCTGCACTGTACCTTCCACAGCGTGATGGAGGAGTCACTGGATGCTGTCACAACCATGTCGTCTTGCTTGTTAGAGTGAAGACCCCAGATTTTATCTTCATGACCATCTAGTGTTTTCACACACTCATTTGTTTTAATTGTCCAGAGTTTTAAGAGACCATCAGAACCACTTTTGGAAGAGAAAAACAACAAACTTAGCTCAGAGAATCACGGGATAGATCCATTCTTGCTCTGCCCCAACCAAAATACTGGATAAACTCATCCCATTCCAATGCCTATCAAGCAGGAGCAGAATTAACCAAAAATCTTGAGAGAGCTTAAGAAACCCATTCTGCTGCCAGTACTACTAGCACCCTCTCAGGTGGCTCCACTATGGAAAGCCTATTACCTACATTTCCTCATACTCACTAGTGGTATTCCCAGTCTCTTTCAGCCTTTCTGTAAGAAAGGGTGGTTCAAGAGAAACTGCATTCTTTCCTGCTACTAGATGGAGAAGAAGCCCTTTGCAGGTACCAGTAACTGTTTAGCTCTGGCTGGTCTAGCCTCAAAGGCAGTAAGGTGAAATTCAGCCTTAGCTCTGCCCTGTGGCATATGTCACTAATCCATCAATGTCTATGTTTGCTGCTACCAGCTAAGAGATTTGCTTTCTGACAAGTTTCAGGATCTTTCTCTAAGGTTCTGGTGTAAGCACTTACCTGCTGAGCAGCTGTGTTCCTCTGCTTACAAAAATGACTTTCAGTACAGAGGCATCATGACCTTCAAAGGTCTGGAAAACAGAAAGGAAGCGTGAAAGTGTTAGAGCTGTTGCCAGGCCCTCAAAGAATCTTATTTCAAGGGAACATTTACTCCCAAAGTCCAGGTAGGTAAATTCCAGAAAGCAGCCTCTACACTTTGGACTTCCTCTTAGTGCAGATTGAAGGGCCAATAGGAAATACTAGCAGAAATAGCATTTCTTCAACCAAGCTGCTTGCTTGGACTCGTTGCCCAAGGTCAATTGTAAATGGTATGAACACAGAGACCAAATGATTTAGCCATCTTCCAAAAAGTTAACACACAGTAAGTGCCAGAACATGGGACAGAATTAGCAACTGCCTTCTCACTGTTTTAGTGGGACACTATTAGGCCAGAAAAAAAATAGTTCTTGTATGAAGATTGGGCCTGAAATTTAAACTTGATTTTTTTTTTTTCATTCATGGCCACAGCTGTGTCAGGCAAAGCCAACTTTCTTTCAACTACCTGAATGTTTTTCCCCTACAATGAACCACACTGATCACTGGATAGCTAGAAAAGATCACCTTTTGCCCTGGAGCTTTGCATGCAACTCATACATCCAATATCCTAGAGAATAAAGCCAGACCTTGATAGCTGTTCCTTCTACACGGTTATGTTGCTAAATTTCACCTGCACTAACACCTACTTTCTGGAGGCAGCCTTAATCAATCCCACATTACCTTTAAACAGCTGAAGTCCTGAAGACCCCAGAGCTTCAGGGTTCCATCTGCCGAAGAGGTGGCCAGGATCTGATCCACGGGGGAGAACTGTACGCACCAGATTCCACGCTTATGTCCAGTGAAGACACCCAGCAAAGAGCAATCAGAACAAGACCACAGCTTGGCCAGCCGATCCTGTGAGCCTGTGGCAATGAGCTTGTCATTGGGAGAAACTGCCACACTGTTTATGTCCTAGAAAAGTCACACAAATACAGTTTAAGGCTTTTCTTTTGCTGTGAGACAGACATTAAATGTCAGGTACAAAA